TCGACAGAAATTGTTACGTACACGTTACCCACAACCCCAATCGAATATATGGGCCCTTACTGCGGAGGGTTTGGGGGGTTAGGTTGAAGTATCATGCCACCATACAAGCACGATAGAAGAGACATCATTACCAACTAGTCAGAACTCCCATAATTAGAGGCTCCGTAGAAGTTCCTTTCCGGGGGTTCATATGTAGAACCCTTTAAGGTAATCCCAAAATGGAACTACTAGGGACCCTATGGGTAGAGTACCTATACTAAGCCCTCATAGGAAACCTTTCGAGGAACCCTATTCTAAGTATAGTTCCTTTCTGTAGGTTCATATGTAGAATCCTATAATAAGGTAATCCCAAAACCCTGGGCATCAAAATAGCCCAAAAGCCTTATTTAACATGGTCTTTGGGCCCCAAAGGCTAAATATATGAGTCCTTAGATGCCTAGGGAAAAGGAACTACCATGGAGCTTGTGGGTAGTTATTAGAATCCTCACGCTGCAACCGATGCCCCCAAACAGACCGAACTCGTCTCCTGGTCCTGGCTGCAGCACCGCAGGACTCGAAGCAGGCAGCCGGAGCAGCATGGATTGAAACGATTTAGGCTTACTTTCATGAATATAACGGTCATAATAATCAGAGTAGGGGTTTTGGGGGATAGTATACAGCTATATTTCTAATCAGGAGTCCCACAATAGTATAGGTAATTGTTCAGGCCATTATATTAGGGTTCAGAGTGCAGGGTTTGTCGCGGCGGAATCCAGAATTGATACATGTTCCCCAGGGATCCCAAATACCCAAAGGATGGGCTGCTGGGATGGAATAATGTACGGTCAATGTGGCCTACATACGATTTAGCTGCAGCCCAGCGGTATCATGTTTCCTTCAATGATAAGTTTCTGTAGCGATTCGTCCGTTACAGCTATGTAAAACGTGAAGAGTTCAGGCGTGTTGTATCAGATGACGTCCCTTTTAGCCGATGGGCTCTGTGAGCCTACACCACAAACCGCTGAACCCTAAAACGCATCTGTTGTGTCAAGGGTGGAAGGCTTAAGCCCAAAGGCTCCATGTACCTTTACAGTACATACTTAAGCCATCAAGGGTCCCTACATAGGCCTAAGTATATACTATATGGGTACATGGAGCCTTGGGGAAGGCTGTCGGTGCAGGACCTTCGCAACGGTGCAAAGTGTCGGGTTTGCGCTCAAGGTGCAACTACGTAGAATGAAGTGCGAAGAATGAACCCTCTTAACAAAACGATACTTGATCCTGGAATCATGTTGAGCTGAACCCTAAACCCTAAACCCCACCCAACCCCAAAAAAACCTTCAATGTGAGTCATGCTGGAGGTTCATGGGTAGTAATAAGTGGGGTTGTAAGTCCCCTAATATGGGTTATAAGTATAGTTACCCTACTTATAACCCTACTTATAACTACTCATGAACCTCCAAGTGGCACCTGGGGCAATGGAACCCAATGCTCAACAAACCGCCCTCCCTCGATAAGGATGAACGTCGGGTGTCGGGAGTAAGTAGGGCATAAGTACCCGAATTACGGTTATGGGTGGTTGTCAAAATTGTGGTCACTTTTTGGGTACCCTAAATATTAGGTGCCGTATTATAATAACGACCCAAAGAGGGACCCTAACTTTCACAACCACCCTTGTATGTAGATCTAACTATAGCTACCTTTATTGCAACCCTACTTACTCAGTCCCCTGATCCTCCATCCACATCTTCAGGCCTTGAATACAAGGCGGGGGGAGATAAATCAGGGCTCTTCGGTCAAGGAGTCTCTTATCATACCTACGTTTTCGCTCAAACATAATTCGGCGGCGTTTTTTCTGCGTAAAACGTCCGGTTGTGACCCTGAGCAAGTTCAAGGGCCTTTGAAATTATGATGGGCTCGTGGTGGTTTATGGTGCTATTTAGCAGGCTTAAAGGTTTTTGTAATAGGCGTCCTCCCGTCAGCAGTAACGAATGCATGAACTGGGAATCAGAAGGTACCAGCAGTACCACCTTCACCTATGTCAAACCCGGTATAGAACCCCTAAGCCCTAGACCCTTAAACCATGAACCCCACAACATAACCCAACCCTAAACCCTAAACTCTAAACCCTCATAGATCTCTTAAAGGAGCTCAGTTAGGAAAGAACCCAGCACCACTTTCAAGCCTCCACGGCGATGAGTAGCAATCGGGAGCCGGTATCGAGTCCATCCTGCGCATGGCTTTGGGCTTGGGGATTTAGGGGGGGTTTCGGGTTCCTTTAAAGGGTGCCAAAAGGGTTCCTTGAAGGGAACTATAGGATTTAAGGATTTCAGGGTGCAGGGTTTGTGGGTCTATGGTGAGGGATTGTGGGAATTTAGGGGTTTGGGATTTCGGGGTTTAGGGTTTATGGATTTAGGATCAGCGATTGGGAAGTTTAAGGGTTTAGGATTCAAGGGTTTAGGGCTTAGGGGTTTATAAATGTTAGTGTATACTTGCGCGTTTGTATGGACATATCTATGTTTGTATTTATATACATGCAAACACGTATGCATACATGTCTCTTTATGTACACACGCAAGTATGTATGAATTGCAGTTCCTGGGAGAAAAGAGCCTAGCTTAAGGCACTGGTCGATACGAGTTTAATGCCTAAGCCACTGGTTGATTGAAGCTTAAAGCCAACCTGTAGCGCCAGATGCTGCGCAAACTGGACTAACCCAGAACCCCTAATGAAGAAACCCTGAAAGTGCCCTACCTGCAGTCTCCATTGGGTTACCTTCTAGGACCCCAGTTATCTACTTGGTTAAACCCAAAAAGGAACTACGATGGAGAGTTCAGGTAATTAACCTTTACAGAAACCTTAAAGTATCCCTTATAGGAAGCCTTAAAGAAACCTTATAGTATCCCTTTTACCTAAGCCCATAAGGTAAAAGCCAAAAAGTTGGAATATGATTATCCTAACCCTTCTATGGTAAATTATAGGGTATCCTACCATGAAACCATATTCCAACTTTCTGGAGTTCCCTGTAGGTGTTAGAAAGTATCCTTGGCTTCGGCGGTGTAGGCCGAGAAGTCGGGCCGATAGCGAATGGGCCTTAGGACTTCCAAGTCTGGGAGATAAGGCTTAGGGTTTAGGGGTTTAGGGGTTTAAGGTTTAGGGTTTAGGGGTTTAGGGTTCAGGGGTTTAGGGGTTTAGGGTTTAGGAATTAGGGTTTAGGGTGACCCCCAAGAGGATCTAGAAAGTAGGTCCCGTAATTTGGGGCCCTATACTACTAAGGGTAATTTATAGGAACCCCCATAAGGGATCTACGTTTTTGATTTTCCCGGGGGTCTGGTAATGTAGGGGCCTTCATACTTCGAATAGGGCTTTGGGGGTTCCTTATTATAATGATTAGTACACTATACACCCAAACCCTATCCTAATTCTAGTTAATGAGGCACCGACATTAGGGTTACAGGAACTAGGGTCCTAGGGTTACAGGGACAAGGTTAAAGGGTTATTAAGGGTTTAGATAGATATATATATATATATATATATAGGGTTTTAGGGGCTGTTTAGTGATTTGGGATCTGGGATTTAAGGCTTCCAGGCTCCTCTGAAGGTTGCTGTACGGTTTTTTGAGCTACTTCCTAGAGGCTCCATATATAGTACCATTATGGAGTTAGGTCCCAAAAGCCATGATATGGATGGTCTTTTGGGACCTAATTCCATAATGGTAGTATATATGGAGCCTCTGGGCTGTTGATGTTTAGGTTATATTTTATTGCATTGTTCTTGTCAGCTCTTGGGCTTGGGGTTGCAAGTGCTTCTAGACCCAAGAGTAGCCTAAGAATAAAAAGGCTGCCCTTTTTGGTTTAAAGGGGCTTATAATCCCTAAACCCTAAACCCAAAACCCTAAACCCTTACAAGGGAACCTGAACCCCCCAAAAAAGGGAATAAGGGCCTACTCTAGGTGCGAGGCTTCGGGTCTAGGAGCATGTTAGAAGCCCCCTACAGGTGGGTAGTTCTTCTTCCATAGTACTCCCATAAGACCCCCTTTACCTTATAGGAGTGGTATGGGAGGCTTATGGGAAACTACCCACCTAATAACTACCCACCTGTACATGGCTTAGACATGTAGGGCTTGGGAGTCAGGAGATAAGATTGCAAAAGGGTTTCGGCTGGTTCAGGGGCTACCTACCTATGGTCTCCATTGTAGTTCTTTTTGGTTTAGCCAGTTACACCTAAACCCAAAACCCTAAACACCCTAACACCCTAAAACCCTAAAATCCTGAACACTAAAACCCTAAACCTAAAAGGTAACACCAGAAAGGAACCACAATGGAGACTATTATAAGTACACCCCGAACTGCAGGACCTGAGTCTCGTCGTGGCCTTACCCATAGGCTCCATAGTAGCTCCTTTCTGGGAATACCTTAAAGGATTCTAAACGTTAAGCCCGAAAGGGAACTACAATGGAGCCTATAGGTAGTTTGATATTGCGGGGTCATAGCCGCAAAACAATGTGCAGCAACGTTTCGGGCTTTGACGATTTCGGTCATATCGTTTTAGGGTTTGGGAGTGTGTTTTGGAATGGTCTATGTATGTATGTGTGATACATATATATATATATATATATATACATATATATATATACATATATATATATATATATAGTCATAATTATATATGCATATATGTATATATATATATATACCTACATATTTCTATACGCAGCTACACACATATGTATCCATCAAGAGCTTCTGGGGTTAATGCTTATTTGGGGCTTAGGGCGTATTTGTAGGCTTTGGGGCTATGGTCGGGCTGAGCTTGGTCAGGGCTTGGGAGGTTGCGGGTTAGAAGCTTTGGATTCGTCCAGGTGTTACGATGGTACTAGGTTTAGTTAGGAGCTTTTTGGATTCAGGGCTGTATCGTGTTTTATGACGTTGTATAGGGTTCCAAGGGCCATATCGGATGTCAGAACCCAGATGCTATCGTATCCTCCTGATCATTTGTCATAACGAGAGGTAACGGAGCGTCTACGTGTTCCGAGACGGTGAAAACCAGGTGAAAGTGGCAGCGTTGATCTCGCTCATGAGCGGCATCGTGGTAGTCGTCATCAACAGACGATATCCAGTCCTCCGCGCTGGTGGCTCGGCTAGTGCCCACTCGTTACCGCCCACCCTGTTCCAGACCATGTTCATCCGAATGGCGCCCCCGCCCGCGAGCACCCGCACTCTTTTGTCAGTGCATGCGTAAAAGGTGTTCCCGTATCCTGCGGCAGTGGACGCTGCGCCATCTTCATCTCGACTGCCAATGTGGGCCGGCCGGTAGTTGCGTTCCCGACTTGCTCTTCCCACGTGTGGTCGTTGTCACAACGGCACCAATCCGCCCAGGGACGTCACTGTAGCAAGTCCCAGGCAGGAAGCCCAGAACCAGAGCTCTTGCCATAAGGTACTGTAGTGGAGTGGTAGTTGTCACCTTATTATTACCCATACCACAAGGCCTTATTCCAACTATTGAGGCAACTTCATCGTAGAACCCACATAGGACGACAAACTCGGATTCATTCTTAAAGCCTCGAGATTACTGGGATCCCTCCCGTTCCTCATCAAGAAACCCGGTAACCCCACCCTCTCAGGGCGTAGGGCGTAGGGTTTAGGAATGTCGGCTGAGGAGGCTTTCAGGGCCGCAAGGCTTAACTGAACCCTACGAAATCTACCTGCTTTTAGGGTTCTGTTGCATGATGTCCTTACATTGGAGTCAAAGGAAAGGAGGAATTAGCGTCGGCTTAGGATTTGACCGAGATTTTGTCGGGATCTGATGATTTCGGACACATCTTGAGCGAACCATGCCTTGAAACACTTAAGTCGAAAACACGTGTAGGGTTAAGGGCTCAGGGCTAGTATACTGCACCATAAAACCCGTAACAGCCCATAAGTGCCGCGCTAAACTTTAAACACCATACAGACCCTAGGCTGTAGACCCCAAACACTAAACGAAACCCTAAACCCTACCACCTAAACCCTACGCGAATTCGACACATCCCAAACCATGTCCTGAATTCAACCCTAAGCCCCAAAGCACGCCAAAATCTAAACCCTCCTCAAGCTCGACACATCCTAAACCATAACCTGAATAAACCCCTACGCCCCAAAACATCCCAAAACCTAAATCCTCCACATATTACTGACTTGAACCCTAAGCCCCAAAACATCCCAAAATCCTGCCTTTATAATAGATCCTTTACCAAACCCATTAAAGGAACCCCCTAAACTCCGAAACCCTTAACCCTACGACCTAAACCCTCCGCAAATTCGACACAGACCGTCTCTGGGCCATCCCGCGTCAATCGAGTGGCAGTGGACTTGCCGCCTGCCCGAGGTACGTCTGGACACTAAGAGGTTGAGGGTTTAATGGCGGGTTTCGGGATGGTTAATGGTCCCAAAGGGTCCAAAGTACCGATATGGTAGAATGTAGGGTTTCTATATTAGGAAATACTATTATGATTATGGGAAGTATTCCCCATAACAGTACATAGGACCCTTTGGGGGTTTAGGGTCTAATGAGGCTTCGGGGTTTAATGTAAAGAGTATACGGGCCCGGGATGATGTGCTGTTTACGAAAAGTTAATGAGGTTTAGGGGTTCAGGGTATAGGGTTTACCGAGGTTTTGGGGTTTAGAGATGGTTTGAAGTTCATGGTTTCATGAGGTTTAAGGGCTTAGGGTTGTGGATCCTAGGGGTTTGGATAGAAGTTCTACAAGGGTCCAGAAGCTTCCATACGGGTTCTATCTGATGAGGCTCTTCCCAGAGCCTCCAAAACCCCTTAATTAAAAAATATACATTAAATTATAATAGGGATCCTATTATACTTCAAGGTATATTCCTTAATTATAAGGGGCTTTGGAGGCTCTGAGTTTGTGGATGCTGGACTACGAAGTGTCTGAGGCTTAGGGCTTCAGGTTTAGGGCTGTAGGGTCTTGCTTCAAGGGCCAAGGGGCTTTGCAGGGTTAGGGTTTAACCCTTCTGGATTCAGGTTTAGCGCCTAAGGCCTACTTCCTGCGGAGCAGACCTTCTGGCAACCACATCCGTCTGCATCACAGCATGTAGAAACCTGGCTAATACTATTCCTCGGTGTTCCTTTGTCCATATTGTTTCTGTATAAGACAAAGGTGTTGGTGCCCATTATAGTATAATTCTTGGAACCCCCTAAAAGACCTAATCATTAATCATTAAGGCCCCTATATATATATATATATATATATATATACTAAGTTAACTTCCCTGTGGTGGGCTGACGAGGCCAGCCTCACCTTTTCACCTCTGGATCGAACGGCACAAGGGCTTTTGTGCGTCACCCACCAGAGCTGCAAATCGGCACTGTTCTGCAAGCCCATCTGGAAGCTGCACTCTGCAGGCCCATCTGCAAATCTGCACTGTTCTGCAGCTGCGAATCTGCACTCTGCAAGCCCATCTGGAAGCTGCAAATCGAGCCAGTCAAGTGGTCACCCACAACGTCTGCCTCTTCAGGGGTTTACAACCGACAAGGCGCTGACAAACCCAAAAAGCTTTCACTAACACTCTCACACACACAACCCAAAGCGCCGAAATCATGGACATAGTACAGTACAGACCCAGACAGGCTTCCACACTGCAACAACCCAACACCGTTCATGCAGAACGCGGGTTTTTTTACTCAAAACCCCAAACCCCTAAACTCTCTGACACTACAACAACCTACCTTATTTGTAGGTTCGTAATATAAACCACATATGATAGGGACCCTACCACAAATTAGGTTTTGGTAGGTTAAGGTAATCTCAGGCCCGATCCCATGGACTCCTCAACCCCAAGCCACACACCCGAAATGTTAGTGACAAGGATCTTTCGGCCAAGCTACGTAGAGGTTCATGGGTAGCTGTAAGTGGGCTTATACGTCCGCTAATATGGGTTATAAGTATAGTGTCACTACTTATAACCGTACGTGTCACTACCCATGAACCTCCAAGTAAAGCAAAGGCCACGACCAGAAGCCCGACGCCTAGTATTGAAGAACGCTCTGTCCGGTCCCAAAGTCAGAGGGTAACAAGGTAGTCTAGGGGCCTTCACAATTCTGATGGGGTGGCAGGGCTTCTTACAGGACATGGTTATTACAAGAGTATATTTCCGGAACCTTCTCTGAGCCGTTACGGGCCCTGGAATGTAATGGAGTTGGGCAGGTCCGGATGGGAGCCTGGGGTGACGACACCCTGAACCCGGATCGGCACCTTGCTCATCAGCGAGCCTCTCCATCGTGAGTTCCAAACACCTGGCATGCAGAAGTGCCGGGTTGACCTGTACGTACGTTATATGGACTGCAGGGTTACTTGGAGGGTCGGGGGACTTAGTAAGTAGGTAGTAAGTAGACTTATAAGTACCCTAAAAGGGACCCTAATTGGGGTTATGGTACTTATATAGTTGTCAAAATTATGGTCCCTTTTTGGGTCCCGATTATAATACGGCACCTATTATTTAGGGTACCCAAAAAAGGACCCTAATTTTGACAACCACCCATATATGGGGTCCCAAAGGACTACTGCAGGGTTAGGGGGGCTCGGTGTCAGGATCTTCGTGAGGTCCTGGTATTCAAACTGCACTGGTGGAAGCAAAGAGCTGCCACGGAGCGGTTATGATACCCTTTCCTAGAGGCTTTATATATGGTACAATTATGGAACTAGTTCCCAAAAGCCATGATATGGATGGTCTTTTGGGACCTAATTCCACAATGGTACTATGTATGGAGCCTCTGGGTTTGATGTTGAAAAGTAGAAACGTTCTAGCGCGTTTTGTAGGAAACATTGTAGTACCCTTTAATGTTGATGCACAGCTTGGCGGCTCGGTCAAAGCAGGTGTCTGAAACACAGAAAGCCCAAAGCGAAACCCCTGTCTCGTTTGCGGGTTTTTGTGGCTTTGGGGCTGTAGGGTTTCAGTTTCAGCTCTTTAGAGCTCTAGGCTTATGGGGCACGAAATGTGGGATTTGGAGCTGCAGCTCCTGAATCCTAAACCCTCAACCCTACTTGGACCCTAAAGAATCTTCCTTTTTAGGGTTCCCTAATATGATTTCCTTACATAAGTCCTCAAAAAGGTAGGTTCTTCAGGGTTCAGGAGCCCTAAACACCTAAGTCCTACACCCCTAAACCCTAAACCCTAAACCCCTAAACCCCTAACCCCCTAAACCCCTACACCCCTAAACCCTAAACCCCTAAACCCCAAACCCCTAAACCCCTAAACCCTAAACCCCTAAACCCTACAGATCCCTCAAAGGAACCCTTATAGTACCCTTTTAAAAAACCCTAAACCCCTTAAACCCCAAAGCCTAAACCCTAAACTTCCCGAAACCTTAAAGATGCCTTATGGATCCCTTTAAGGACCTCTGAACCCACCCGTCAGGCGCCGCAGCCTCTTGCCGAGGAGGCTCCAGGGCCCGTGGATGGACTCGAAAGCTTCTTCTCCTGCGAAGACCTCCGAAGATTGGGCGGGGTTTAGGGTTTAGGGCTAAGACCTTCGAAATAGGGTTTAGGGTTTAGGGTGGGGGGTTCTGTACGTTAGGTTCAAGCTCTATAGAGTCTAAAGTATTTCGCTCCGAAGATTGGGGATGCAGAGATTCCAATATCCCTTAATTAAGGAATGTACCTCAAATCATATTTATTTTACAGTAGAAGCCGCAGAGTTGGAAACCCCATAGCCTCAGTCCATAAAAGTAATGTATAGGGAATCCCAGCACTCTTTGGCCTTAATCCGGTTTCCAACTTTATGGGGTTTACTGTAGGATTCGAAGATTGGGAGGATTCTGTAGTACAGGATTTAGGGTTTATAGAGTTGTGGTTTAGGGGCTTCTGTACATTATGCTTGGGGTTCTGCAGTCATAGGACGTAGAGGATTGTTGCGAGGGCTTTAGGGGTTTAGGAGTTAGGATCCTAAGATTAGGCTTCTGGGCTATGCTTATAGTCTCCATTGTAGTTCCTCTTTTTGGTTTAACTAAATATAAAATTAGGATCCTATAGGGTACCTCAAAAAAGGAACTACAATCGAGACTCTAGGTAGGACCCTGAAACGGTATTTGTTGGGTTTAGGGGTTGGGGGTTGACTTGGGGTGTGGGTAGGATGGCTTGCTTTATGGCTTAGAGCTTGGGTTAGTAGGGTTGGGGACGGAGTTTTTCTGCAGAGGAAGTAGTGGTCCTTAGAGGTTTTTTACAGGTGTGAGAAGTTTGATTGAACAACGCATCCTTTTTGGAGTTGAGATGCTGCCGTGGTCTGTATCAAGGTCCCCTATTAGAAGTCCTGTAAGCCCTATCAGATCAGCACTGAGAAAATAATTCTGAGTCAAACATGGGAACCACAAATACGAACACAAAAAAACGAACCAAACCCTGATTCCGAAACCCTCACAGACCCAGACCCCAATAATTATGTCCAAACCCTGCAGCCGCACATCTCTGTCTGGTGCTTAGTACTTAAAGGATCATGGGACTTAGTAACTAGGGTTATAAGTAGGGTAACTATACTTATAACCCCAATTAAGGTACTTATAACCTTACTTAATAAGTCCCATGATTCTCCAAGTATGGAATGGGGGAATGGATCCCTATGATAGTCCCCGTTAGGTCCCCTGTCCCAATAACATTCCCCCATTCCCTACTAAGAAGCAGACAGAAAGAGGGTCCAGTGACAGATTGCCAGACAGAAATGACACCCTAAGCCCTTAACCCGAAACCCTAAAACCGAAACCCTAAACCCTAAACCCGAAACCCTAAAACCGAAACGCTAAACCCGAAACCCGAAACCCTAAACCCGCAACCCTAAACCCGAAACCCTGAGCCCCCTTATGACTTGCGCCTTCACTTCGCCCGTGATGATCAGCGCAGCGTAGCCGGCCACCTGCAGCTGGTCGTGCTTGTTTTGGGGGTCTTGCCCATAGTAGCTCCCCAGAGAGCCCAATACCCTTTAGTTAAGGAATATACCTTAAACTATGAGGGGTAATATTATGGTTTAAGCGATATGCCTTGATTAAGGGGTATTGGGCTCTCGGGGTCCTTTTTTGTGACTAGGATCCTACGCTCTAGATCTGGCTAACCAAGAAAAGGAACAACAATAGGAGACTATAGGTGGCTTAGCTTTGGTGTTCAGAGTCTTTGGCATACGTTTGATTCATATCTTCAGTTCTGGCGCATATCTTCGGGGAGGTCAAACTGTGATGCTGATAGTTTCACGTGTAGACAGTCCGATAACTCTCTTTCACGAACTCCACACACGTTGGTAAATTCGGGTGTAGCGGTAGCTAATTATGCAAGAATCTAATCTAACAAGAAACCCATTCTAATGCCCTTCACAAGGGCTGTACTAGCCTATTCAAGGAAGAGTGGAAAGCAGAAGTTGCGCTATAGGAGACTTCATACCAAGCCCTAAACCATAAACCCGACACCCTAAACAGAAGCTTCCCCAAGAGGTGCCTTCAGACCCGACTGCGGCAAACCCTGGGCCGAAAACGGTAAGCTAGGACTGGCCCTTCAACTCCTCTGAAAAATCTTCGTAAATCCTCGGAGGCCCAAGAAGCGACAACATGAAATGAAAAGCCCCCAAATTCCTGCCTAGCAAACCTGCGACCGGAATAGGAAAAAAACCGATTCTTTTGGGTCGGTGGATCCTCAAGCCCGAAAAAATCCGAATATACATCAAACCCTAATAGCAATAGCGGTGTTTGGGAACGTTTTGGATGAAGGACTTGGGCTTTCTGTCATTTCCGTGCAAGGAAGGGCTTAGTCAGGGTAGGAAGGTCTCGCAACTGTGGGGCAGAGGACCTTTCAGCATGTAGCCTAAGCAGCCATTTCGGTTTCAACAATAGCGACCTTACTCTGTACTGCTTTGATAATTCAGTATGTTTTGCGGGTGCTTTCTCGAATAGTTGCAAGAAGAGCATAAAGGGGAGATAGCTACTATGACTACATATGATAAAAAAAACAATACTCGTGATAATACACTATAAAAATCCTAAATCCGAACCGACTCCTTTGGCCCCTCCATACTTGGAGGGTCGGGGATTTGCAAGTAGTATGCTAGAGAAGTGGGAGTAAGTAGGTTCCTTTAAAGGGTTCCTTTTAGAGGGGTTTCTGAGGATTACTACAAGGGCTATTATAATGATATGAGTATATCTGAAAAGGGATGGAAATTGGGTATACTAGTCATTCGTTATGAGACTGTACCTTCAAAGTACCTACTTGCTAACTGCTAAGTTCCCCGACTGTCTGAATATACCATACAAACACCCTCGTCATACGAGGAATGCCTCTCATTGAAAAGTCTGCCTATATGAATAGTGAATAGTGCCGTGGAGATCGTGATACCCTGAACCTTCAGCTGACGAGCCGCTATGAAGCTTAAACCCCTAGGCCCAGTATACCCCAAACCGTGGCACTTTCCATGGTATTGAAACGATTCACCACTGGATAAGTTCAGGGTCAGAAGTCAACTCCACCAGCCCCGTCTTAGGGTTTAGGGTCTAAGGTTTGGGGTTTAGGGTAGTTTGGCTTAAATATAGTTGTTGCATGTTCCCGGAGCGCGACCCGGGATCATATAAGTATCAGCATGTCAAAAACTCAATTTCCGCACCTAGCGATGTCTCCGGTAACCGCACTTTCATCCAAGGGTAAAAGGAGGGACCCTTAATAAGGACCCCTAGGTATATACCCTTAATATAGCTATTATCTACCCATTATATAGCCCATTGTTGGGTAGGGGTCTCCATTCAGGGCCCCTCCTTTTCCCCTAACCCCCTAAATCCCCAAACCCCTAAACCTTAAAGCCTATACCCTTATAGAATCCCTATAGATCCCTTTAAAGGGACCCCATTAAGGGTCCCTCCTTTTCCCCTTTGATGCAAGAACTCCGTGGGGGAGCGTAAGTGAATGCGACACCCGCAGCAGGCGGCCACGTGGGAGTTTCCGAAAATAGGGGACCCACTAAGGGCTCCCTTTAAGGGATCCATAAGGGTTCCATTAAGGGATCCATAAGGGCTTCCTTTAAGGGATCCATAAGGGTTCCATTAAGGGATCCATAAGGGCTTCCTTTAAGGGATCTATAAGGGTTCTATTAAGGGTTTAGGGTTTAGGTGTGGGAGTTTCCGGAAAGAGGGGACCCCAATGTAGTACCCTAAATAGTAAGATCCTTATTATGGGCCCCCAAAGATGAGGTACCCCTAATTTTCGGAAGCTCCCATGTCGCAATGAAGGATGACACCAGCCGCAGGATGCAGGCAGAAGTTGAATCCACGATTTAGGGTGTAGGGTTTAGGCCTTCCTGCAGGCCAATAGTTTGGAACATAAGGACTTCTCGGGTGGCCAAGAGCCACTAAGACTAAGGAGGTTCTGTAGCGGTGGTTTGCGGCCTGGGTATATGCTGTATGTCCCTGTGCCCTTGGACCATTGGAGTTTGGACGCTACGCCCGTATCGTGCCTGCCGCTGTTTCAAGAAACACATCTTCAAAGACTTTATTAACAAGGCACACATGATACGGAAGCCGAAACTTTGAGCTTTTTCAAGGTTCAGATAGCTCTACTTGCCGAAAAAATTCCTGCTTAGGAACCTATATAATGAAATCAGACTAAGGAACCATCCAAAAGGCAGGTTTTTAGGGGTTAAGGTGAGATAGTATTAGACTATATGAGATAAAACAAGTTGTTATAGGTTACAAATAGCATTCGACAAAAACGATTTATGTAGTAAAGTATCTCCGGAGACACTCGAGGCCTCCCCACGGCGGAAGAGAGCGGTACCGTGGGCATCGCTACCTCGTTCAGGAAACGTGGGCTTAGGGTTTCAGGGTTTAGGGTTTAGTGCAGGTTGTGCGGTTGTAGGGGTCAGGGTTTGAATTTAGGACTTATAGGGCTTTAGGGCTGTAGGGAAAAAGAACTTCGGGGATGCACATTAACGGCAACTGATTCACCAAAGAATGTGTCCACTCCAGGACCTGAAATACCTGTTCGGTGCATTCATGTGTACAGCTATAATAGAGACACAGAGAGAGAAGAGAGAGAGAGCGAGAGAGAGAGAGAGAGAGACAGAGAGAGAGAGAGAGAGAGAGGCAGAGGCAGAGGCAGAGGCAGAGGCAGAGGCAGAGGCAGAGGCAGAGGCAGGGGGGGAGAGACGCCATGCCACCAACATGCGATCGAACCCTGCGTCGGCCTGTTCCCACCATTTGGCAGCCCCGCTGAAGAAACACCTGACAGGGGGTCATTGATGCAATGATTGAAGTTCCTTCGAGGGGTTTCTACAAGCTTTGAGGGCCTTTGGGCTTTACCTTGACACCTAAACCAGCCTAAACAACAAACCCTTCAAATGCTAAACCACCCTGGCCCTAAACCCTGAACTCCTAAGACCTGAATCCTAGACCCTATTTCTTATAGGGGTTTAGAAACTTATTCTGGGCCTCAGGCCCAAACGGGTTTACGGTTTGAGGCTTAGGCTTTTAGGGTTTAGGATTTTAGGTTTAGGGTATAGGATTTGTGGACTTGAACTCTAAACCTAAACCCTAGAGCCCTAAAGCCCAAAACCCTAAACTCCTTAACCCTAAAACCATTAATTCTAGTAAGTATCTTGAAGGTCTTGGTCGCAAGTCTTAAACTTCTTTGAAGAGGGCCGTGGTTTGAAACCGATGAAACGGGATCGTAATTACAAGAGCTCCGTGCTCTTCTACTTTGAGATTCATGGATAGCTTATAAACGGGGCTCCTTGAAGATCCTGTAAGGGCTCTATAGGGTTTAGGGTCTAGGGTGTAGAGGGATTATAAGGTTTAGGGGTAGTTTTGAAATGGGGTTATAAGTCCGCTAAGTTGCATTACAAGTATAGTTACCCCCACTTATAACCCTACTTATGACTACCCATGAACCTCCAAGTAAGCTATACCAGATACCTCCCACGCAACATGTTTGAAGATCACGACACAACTGATTGCTTTCAAGCCACTCTGTCTTCCAAAGCTAGTACCAAGGAAAGGCTGGCAAGTGCATCTCTCTCTATACATCTCTTTTCCTCTCCGGGCCTTCAGTAGGGTTGCTTATATGAATTCTAGTATTTTGGGGTTATAGGCCCAGGATGGCCCAAGGTTTCTTCATCAAGTTCCTACATTACGCTTCAGCGTTGACCTCGACGATAACGGCCAATGGCTGATGAGACAGCACGAAACAAAGCTGGTCCAAATGCGTTGAACTTTCCTGCGGATGAAAGATGATTTCCTTCACGATGCATGGAAGCTCTCGTGTTAGCAACAAGTCCGAAATGATGCAAGGAATGCGCACCGACATGCCACAAAAAGAGGACACATTCCCATAAGGTAGCTGGTCATGGTCATGCACGCGACATTCGGAGCGCCCACAGCCAATTCTGGCGACCAACCCGCCCCGCTGGCGGGTTCGTCGATGGCTTGCGCATAATACAATCTTTGCTGCGCTGCCGTGACTTCCCAGACTGCTCGCAAACGCTGCAGACGTGCCACCTGCTCCCGGGCAAAACCGCCCCAATGGAGCTTCAAGAGGACATTATTGAAACTCGAAGATCCCTAGCAACATAGAAACAAAAAGAGCACCCTTGCCATTGGATACTTTCCTACACCCTAAACCCTAAAACCCTAAACCCCTGAGATCACAAAAAGCAAAAAAACGGGCCACTGGGGGAGACCTGGCCTTAGTCCATCTGTTTCAATACGGGGCTGAAGATAAGGTTTAGGCTTTGGGGTTTAGGGGTGTAGAGCTTCGCTGCAGGGGTTTAGGATTGATGGTTTGATGGTACTACCACTTTTTGGAATCGTTTCTTTTTTGGTTTCAGGGGTGTATACTGCACTATAGCTACAACAAGGACTACAGGGAATACTGTACTGTTCCTACCTTTAGACTATATCCACTACTTTGGGACCCTCCAATAACCTTTATATTTATATATATATATATGATATATGTATATGTATAGATGTATAATACATGTCGAACCTTAGTACTATGATCCTGACTATAGAAGCCCGGGTGAAGAAACGGACTCAACAATGACAGATGCATCCTAAACTCTACACCCTAAGGCCCAGACAATAAACCCGAAATGCCCCCACACCAATCTCTGAAGTTGAAGTGAGTATGAAACCCTGAAACCCCAACCCTTAATGAACCCTTAACCCCTGAACCTTGAAGCCCAGACCCTTGACTTGAACCTTTCACCGCAAAATCCCGGCAGCCCCGACACAAACCGAAAAAGCCATGGAAGCCTCACCTCCCAACCGAACCACCTCGACGAAACACCTTTAAAACAGAACACCCAATCTGCAAACCAAAGTGAACCCTGTTTTCGTCCCACAAAGGCTACATGAACCCTAAACCCCAAAAGCCCTAAACCCTAAACCCTAAACCCCTAAACCCTAAACCCTAAACCCACCGCCCTCAAAAAAAAAAACGCAGTTTCCGCTCGCAAGGAAAGCCTCGAGTCTGCTCTGCTCCACCTGATTCTAAGGCTTACTTCAAGGGCTATAGCCTGGTTTCCTTTTCTTTTTAATGGGCCTGGGCTTTAAGGTTTAGGCTTACTATGGGTTTATGGCAGTGGGTATAGGGTTTAGGCTTGCTTGAAGGGCTATGGCAGGGGATTTGGGGGTGGAGGGTCTCTTTCGGGCTCAGGGTTTGGGGTTTCGGGTTCAGGGCTTCTGGTCTGGTTCCACAAGGGGTGCCTTGCGCCTTTTTTTTGTGTTATTTAAGGTTCGGAACTTCGGGTTTTGTATGACGGATTCAGGGTGGAGGATGGATGGTTCACAATTTAAAGTCCGGTGTAGGGCTGCAAGAGATTCAGGGTTTTGCAAGGTTTTGATTTGGGTGGTTGTCCTGTTTGGGTCCTTGATATAAGACGGCACCTATTATTTAGGGGACCCAACAAGGCACCCCAATTTTGACAACCACCCATTTAGCTTCCGAAGGGGTTGACAATTGCCCAGGGTGTTTTGCTGGCACCATACGAGGCTTACACAGTTTACCAGGCCCCTTTACTGTTGTTGTTTTTTCAGGGGTGTACAAGACCAGACAGGGTTGTATAAGCCATTGTACAAGTCACATAGGGCTGCGGAGGGTGCTACCGGGATTCAGGCCAATCCTCCTGACGTAACAGTTACCACAAGAGACTAGCGACCGGTGTAGATGTTGTGTAGGTATACATTATAGATGCCTTACACCCTTAATTAACCCTAAATCCTAAACATTGGCAGGGGTCTGCTACTGAATTGATTGGGGCTGATCCAGGTCAGCGCTGTAGCAAAATGTAGTGTCAGTCATATACACCTGAAACTTCTTAGAAGTATAGTATAATGGGCCCCAAAACCCTATTCGAATGATTAAGGACGGCTTTGTATACTGAAACAAAGATCCAAAACCCCCAAACCCCAAACTCTCTCGGCAAGCCTGGCGAAACAGAGTTGGATAACGCTGCCGCCTTGTCTCAACATGCTTGAGAAATCCGCTGGAAGGGCTTGGAGCGCTTAGTGTTTAATATGAAGCCCTTAATAATTAGACTCGGGTTTGGGTTTTTTGTACTATGAGTATGATAAGGAACGCCAAACTCGTACAGGTAACCATTTTAGGCCCCTATGTTAGGTTTCAACGCGTTGAGGCCGTGGGGTGTCGGAGTTTTAGGGTCATGGGTCGCAAGAGCCTTGTAGGGTTACCTCAAAGCTTTTTGGGGTGTGAGGAGGGTTTAGGGTTTCGGGGTTTAGGGTTAGGGCTTTTATGGTGTAGGCGCCGTTTTGCGTTTTTTTGAAACCGGATCTTTTGCTCGCTGCAGGTTTAGGAGTGCAGGTCTCTTTAGAGTGCAGGTGTTTGGTTTCGTGTTAAGGGCGGATGTGCAGTTCTGCTTAAAGCTTGTTAGCAGGTCAGCACACACACACACACACAATCAGCTACATCTACGCACTAATTGTATAACCATGTCCTACATAGCACTCCCTCAGCCCCTTTAAATTGGGGCTGAATGTATTGCTGTGGCTATAGTTAACGTACGCCTTAACTACCCTCTTGCATAACTCTGCAGCAAGATATATTCAAGCATCCGTAAGATGAGGACTCTGATTATTTTGCGGGGTACTCTTAGCAACACTCGCTGTGTGGCATTACCCGCACTGGTGCGGCGAAACAGCCCATGATGTTGGCCTACGGTACAGAGGCTGCTATGGGTGTAGTCGGATTAAACAGATTTTGTTGACTGAGGGTTCAAGGTTCGTGTTTTACGTGGTCTGCCACAAGATTCTGGATTAGCTTCAAGGACAAAAAGACTCACTAAGACCCAAGAGAACGTCTTCTGATTAACAAAAAAGTTCGGATCAACTAGTCCAGCCGGAGCATGTGTGCAGGCACGCTCACACACTGGAACACAGATACAAACAAGGACACACACGCACACACGTGCGCGCGCTCATATCTGTCTGCATGTATGCGTGTGTATATACGTGCATATATATATATATATATATATATATATATATATATTACCATTAACCTGCCGAAACCTACTTTTTTGTAGGGTCCCTATAAATTCCATATTAGGGTTTATAATAAGAACCTACAAAAAGGTAGGGTTTGGTAGTTTAAAGTAAACCTAGAGCCAAGGCTCAAGAAGGCAGCCGAGGCAATCACCTGGCAGAAGCGGCTTGACGCATGGTTTTGGAGGACGTGGCTTCACCTAGGGGTCCAGGATTTATAGGGTTTGGTTGCTAGGTGCTTATGGGTTTTGGCTCATTTTGGGGGGGTTTAGGGGTTGTGTGTAGGCTTCGGGTGCTTGACAACTTTGAGGGGTGCTGACGGATGCTTTTGCTCGGAAGTATCTGGACTGGGTTCCTGTTCTTATTATTATTATTAATATTATCTTTATTATAGATCCCACATAAATTGTGAAGTTCCAGATGCTGGATTTTCACCAGCAGATGCGTTTGCCACTGCTGGCACAGGGCTTTGAGCACGCGAGTGCCACCGCCTGCTGCGCCACTTCCATCGCAGCGCAAGTCGACCGAATCGTCCAGCGTGGCGTGCGGGCCAACCACAGGTGAGGCCTCGGCCGCCCCACTGCGACCTGCCATGCACGGCCGCCTTGCACACCGTCTTGTCATACATGAAGTCGCTAGACTCCTAGGACAGGGCGCCCACTTCCTTCAGCTCGAAGGGGCCGGCATGTCCTGTGTCCCTTTTGTCCTTTTCCGTTCCTTTCCGCCTCCCTCTTTTTTCCTCCTGCTTTCTCTGTCCATTCTTCTCCTTTCTCCACAGAACCAGAAAACCATATGTAGTATGATAGTATTTTGTACCATAGATCTCTGTTGTGGTAACTTAGATTAAGTTCCCTCACAAGAACCCAGTTGTCGCACGTCTTTGTCATTTGTGGCTAGCTTCTTGCAACAATGTTGGGCTGTGACCACGATGGCGGTACTACAGTCCAGGGTCGTGCTCGTAAGGTTTGCAGGCGTCTTGGGTTTAGGGTTTAGAGACGGTTTAGGGTTTAGGGCTGGGCTTTTGGTTTGAGAAGACAGATTAGGGGCTGAAGGTTAAGGGGAAAGGGATTTTAGCATTTTCAGAGGTCGCAAAGTACCGGTAATTCAGGTCTTTGGACGGTGGAGCTTCTGCGCTCTTAAAGGGTGTCTTGGCGGTCTAAGTAGCCGGGCTCTGAAACCCTAAACCATAAACCCTGTAAAACCGAAATATCTCCCAGGGCTTGAAAAGAGTAACTGAGTATTGGTTTGTCGGCGTCTCAACCCCGAACCCTGAACCCCTACACCCAAACCCTAAACCCCAAAAAAGCCTAACCCTAAACCCCGAAACTCCTAAACCCTAACCCTATACCCCTAAACCCTCAGCCTTCAACCCTGCAGTGAGTTGAGAGTCGAAGATTGCCGTTGGGGTGTCTCAGGCCTGGGTATTTGATGTTTGCGTTGAAGATCTAGGTCTCTAGGGTGGCGGTGTGGGGTTCAGGTTTGGGGTAGCGGGAATTCAGGGTTTCGGGTATAGGAACTAGTAGTTAATCAGGATATGAGTTTACAGGGTTTGTGGTTTCAGTTTGACAGCTCTGTTGGTGAGGTATGATAATAATTACTAAGCCCGACCCAAATACCTAGATTCCCTAGATGCCGCACCACGGCTGTACAAGTTGCCCTAAACCCTAAACGCCTAAACCCTCACACCTCGTCATTGGAGAGCGGTCTCGCCACTTGCACTTTCTGCGCACGCCTCAGCTTCAATTGCTGGCTGCAAAGCTCCGGTGGAGAATTGATGGGACGGAAGCAACATCCGAAAACCCCAACCCACAAAACCCCAAAACCTACAAACCCTAGATTGGGGATCTCATATGTAGTGCTGCGGCATTTCCAGAGCAGGGGATGAAACTTCAATTACATTTATCCTGGACACCCTGATCTCCCTGACTTCAACTCGATCGTCCTTCAAACTGTGGTGGTTGCTTGCCTTGCAGCTTCGCACGGATGTCAATATACCAAGGCTTATCACCGGACCGCTTAACGGAGGGTCGTCATGCGAACCTTTGGTGAATAACCCGCCTCCCCTACCTGAAAAGGGATTCTTCTGCGGATCCGGATCTTCGGGCCCTTCAATTACTGAGGGGTCTACATTCATCATTCACGTTCTTGGTTTAGGATTTAGGGTTAGGTTCTTGTTTGGGATCGGAGTGGAGAGCTCGGGTATCTCGGTATCTCTGAAGAGAGTAGCGAGGGGATTTCATGGTGGGGCCGCTTGCCCCGCAGGAACACTTGGACAAATCGTCGGACGCACTTGGAGGTTCATGGGCATATAGTTATAAGTAAGGTTATATAAGTAGAGTAACTATACTCATAACCCATATTAGGGGACTTACAACCCCACTTGTAATTACCATGAACCTCTAAGTGCTCTAACAAAAAAACCCCCAAACTCGAAACCTCGAAAGCTCAAATCCTACAGCTCAGGCTCTCAAAACCTTAAACCTCGAAAGCTCAAGTCCTACAGCTCAGGATCTCAAAACCTTAAACCCTCGAGAGCTCAAACCCTACAGTTCCGAATCTCAAAACCTTCCACGTCATGAGCCCGAACACCCTGGAGTCCGAACACTAGGTTGGCCCCTTAAAGCCTCTGAAAAATCTTCGTAAAGCGGGTCCTATTAAGCCCAATAAGGGAAAATGTAAAATGTCCCAAAGTCTTACCTGGGAACATCCTCGAGGCCTGAACCCGAAAACCCTTAGGTCCCAGAGCTCCACGACTCAACATACAAAGCGTGAGAGCAAACTTTGAAACCTGAAAAACGTTAGGCTCCACGTATACCTACAAATACATAGTCGCACAGGGAATTTCAAAAAGCCGTCCGTAATGCGGGATGAAGGCCCCCAAACTGAAACCACTTAGTTGTCTGCTCTATATAGCCCCTCAAAAACCCTGGTATAAACTGGTGTAAAACCTGCATGTATATACACACATATACACACACATGCACATACACATACACATACACATACATACATGTATGCATGCATGTATGTATACACAACATGTATCCCCATAATCTCTCAATGCGAGCCTCGTATCAACCTCTTCTAGAGCGTCAAACCTCTATACCCTAAACCCTATACCCTATAAACCCTAAACCCTATCTACCCTATACCCTCAACCCTTTTTGAACCCAGGCTCTGTGTTATCAGCTGGGCAGCAGGCATAATTCCTGCCTGTGGAAACTTGGGCAAGTAAACAAATTCTCACGGACATCCTAGAGCTAGTCAAACTCCATCACATCGTGCTCAACCCTAGACCCTAAACCCTAATACATGGTCGGATGAGGGCCGAGCGCCAGAGGTCCTTGGTGGCTTTGCCCAGTCGACTGGTCCAAGGACTCGTGAAACCTGCAGGCGAGGCGGGTTTCCGCCAGAGTCTATAATTATCTCAAGAGGCTCCCAAAATGCTATATATTCATATATATATACATATATATACTTTATATATATATATGTATACGTAACTACTCAGCCTCTATATTCTCAGCCAGCAAGCTTAAGTCCTAAACCCTCAACCCTAATATTCGAGGATGACAGGGCTGAGAAAGTGGATTATAAGCCAAGTAACTATAGCCATATCTACCTAGAACTCCAATTAATTAAGGTAATTTTCTGCTCCTTTTGTACCGTTTAGGTTTGGGGGCTTGGGGTTGAAGGTAGTTCAGGATGAAACCCTGAACCCCAAACCCTTAACAAAATTTCGAGCAGCCAGCATACGCCAAAACATCAAGCGATCTGAGGGTTTCGTGTCTCGGCATGTAGGGTCTAGGAGTTTAGGGTTCAGGATTTCGGGTTTAGGTTTTGGGGTGTGGATGGGTTCGCGGTTTAGGATTCAGGGCTTAGGGCATCCAGATGCCGGCAGTCCCACAAATTCTAAAGGCCTTATATAACATGATTCGGCGCGAGTTTTGGGTGAGAATATACCATAAGCATGACAAGCAACCACCAAAGTCACATATACTAGATGTTCAGGCTTCTTTCGCACCTCCGACTCTTAGAGCAGTCTGAGGTGGCGGGGATCACGGCTCCGGACTTACCCTATTGGGGGATACTGCGCCAGGGGTGTAATAATCGTGCTATAAGGTACTAAACGACCAGTAAGGCAAATACATGTGTATATATCGTATAGTATATATACATATATATATATATATGTATTTATGTTTATACACTTGTATATTTACAGAGAGAGAGAGAGAGAGAGAGAGAGAGAGAAAAATATGTATAATATACAGAGAGAGAGAGAGAGAGAGAGAGAGAGAGAGAGAGAGAGAGAGAGAGAGAGAGTGTGTGTGTGTGTGTGTGCGTGTGTGTGTGTGTGTGCCCTTCAAAGGCACCCTTACCGTACCCTCTAAAGGCTTTACAATACCCTTGAACTTGTGAAGGAACCCTGATAGTACTGACAGCACCCTTTCAAGGAATCCCTACAATACCCTTTAAGGGAACCCTTAAAATCACCCTTAAAAGAACCCTTGCAGTACTCCTTTATCCCTGTAAGGGTTCCACTAAAGGAACACCCAATGGAACACCCAATAAGAAGCCTGTAGAGGGTTTGGCAGTCTCTGGGTTTCGTGTCGGACGGAGCCTCCGGACGTTGGAGAACATCCCGCTCGGCTCGCTACTCACCTGTTCTAGGGAAGGGTGCCATAAGGCTTAAAGGGTACGGCTCAAGGGTAAGGGGTTAGAGTTTGGCGGCTTCGACGTCATCAGGGGTTTGGGTTTTGGGGATTTGAAGGTTTACGTGTGTTAAGGGTGTAGATTTTCGGGTTTGGGTGCTTCAGGGTTATATCAACAGTTTTCATAGGGTTTGCACGGTTCGATGGGTACCGGCCCGAGTTTCCAGAGACTCCAATATCCCTTAGTTATGTTGGGGTCTCTGAGTTCAACCTCATCTAAAACCATACTCCCAATTGCTGAATCTCTCAAGCCCGTAGTCCTGCTCTAATGCATGGCTTGCGGTTAAGGATCTATGTATGTCCCTGTATACGTGTGTGAAAACGTTATATCTACTTGTTTATATGGGGATCACCGAGGGTCCGATGCCCCAGTTTTGTGACGGAAGCTCTTGCTTGTGGAACAAGTCTCTTGACTCCTAAATCCTGACCCCTCAACCAAGGCCTCGTAAGATGCCGCGCGAGCTCATCGAAACACTACTTCCTCGAAACCAAGTGGCCCAACTACTGGAGGGGCCTTGATGCTGAGACTAGGGTTGTGGCACTTTGGGGAAGGAACACTAGGGATTAGCCTCGCCATGCCTCGCCAGTATTCAGACCTCTATGCTAAATACCAGACTTCAAGCAATCGTATCTGACTTTCGACTTTCGGGCCAAGAGAGGGTGTTTGTGCAACATATAGTGAAACTCTGGGACTTTGAAAACTGATCCCTACGCTGCCCTACACTCATTTTAGGCTCCTCCAAAACTACACAAGTCCCTGGTAGCAAACATCCAAAAGCCTGTAACCCTAAACCCTAAACCCTAACGCTTCTAAAACTGACTGCGGAACCCGCCTCCGAATCCTTGTCGTCTGCATCGACCTGAAACTACTGAGAGGGTTCAGGGTTTAGGGTTTAGCACTTCTCAACCTCCTTCAGCAGACATGCCCAAGATCAGCCATGCTTCTCAATGCACATAACATACTGATTTTGTCGTATTATGCAACATATGTTTTGGTAGGGTATGGTAGAGTAGTATAATGTACTACAGTATAGCAGAACATTGTACAGTATAATACAATATAATACGGTCTACGGCGTAACATAATGTACTGAGATAGGCAGATACATCACATGCACTCATTACGTGCTTACGTGTGTAGCATGTATGCATATGTATACATGTATGTCTGTACGTACTTACACATGATTACGATGTGGATATGTAGCTTTACGAGCTTGCATATGAAGGCTTGCCAGAGCTTCAGTCGATGCCGCTGCTTTTCTTTGTTGTCCAGGTTGAAAGACTTTAGCATGAGGGTCTCAATGGACTTCATGGTACTACAGAAGCTCCCTGCAGGCCTTCAGTCTGTGTCGTGTTACGGGTTTAGGGTTGCGGGTTTAGGGTTTATAGGGCCTGATTACTAAACCCCAAACCCTGAACTCTCAACCCCTGAACCCTACTTGGAGGTTCATGGGTAGTTAGAAGTGGGGTTATACGTCCCCTAACAATGGGTTATTCGTATGAGTTGCTAGATGAGAGGAACGAGCTGGTGGAATTAACTGGCACTTGAATCCCAAGTCTTATCTCCTTCGCTTGCCAAGGAAACACACGAACCAGGGAAAGACGTTCATTCTGTTAGGTTCGGTTACAAAAGGGTTCGGTTGGTAATGGAGGAACAGGAACCAGCCAAAGGACCAACAATAAAGGAGCAAAGTACACAGGATTTCGTTCGCTAGTGCTGGAATAAAATAAAACAAACACGCGTCACTACATTTCACTTCGTTTCTTGTTTTGTTTCATTTTATTGCAGCACATAAGCTCTCTTCATATAATAAGGTAATAAGATTTCATTAGTCATATTAGGTGATCTTTTAATACTAATAATCTCCAATATCCAGATAATACTAAGTATTAGTTGTAAAATAAGTTCTAGCTCGTTCCTTATAACCCTACTCATAACTACCCCGTGAAGCTCCAAGTGCGTGGTCGTCAATATTAGGGTCCCTTTTTGGGTCCATATTATAATACGGCACCTAATATTTAGGGTACCCAAACAGGGACCATAATTTTGACAGCTACCCCACCCAGATCGTAAATCCCAAAATTTTACATTCAACATCCTACAACCTCTAATGCCTAAATCCTGAAAAAACCATCCCCAAAACCCTAAACCCTCCTGAACCCTAAATGCTAAACCCTAGAAGAGCACTAACCCTAAACAATAAACCCCCTAACTTCAACTCTGACGTGTAAGGGTCGACCTCGTGAACATCGTCTTGCACGATGGTATTGAGGAGGTCTTGGAGAGTGAGGATACCCACCTCGATCTTGAATATTCTGGGATTGTTGTAAGTAAATGGGCTTAGAGTTTAGGGTTGCTAGATGCATGGGTTAAGGATGTAGTGTTCAGTAGTTAGGGTCTTTGGCTGTTGAGCTAACCATGCTTCAGTGTATTGTTTTTGGGGCATAAGGGCTTGGGGCTGCACAGGGGAAACTCTTAATTCTCCCGACTGTTATCGTGTAAAAACATAGATAACCCATTCGGGATTTCACTTACACATTATCCCGACTTCTTTATGCAGGGCTGCAGAGCTTCGGGGTTGCATGCATCTGGTGAATTTCAACTTTTTGAGGTGCAATCGTCAGGCCTTTGCTGGATGTGTAAGGGTCTTAGCCAAAATAGTGTTTCTATACAGGTCCATGTAAAGGGTTCTAGCAGGGTTATTCTTAAGTCTTACAACAAAGGTTCTAAAACTTTATAGCACAGTTGTCCTCAATACTCAGACGAGAGTGTGTGGGTGCTCAATGCTTAGATGTTAGTCAACAACACCTATGGAATAATGTGGGAAAATGACGACCCGACCCATAGGCTATCCTTACTACTATTGGTATTCTGATCGTGAATAGTAGTAGCTTGTGTTGTTCTTGTTGTCTTCTTGCTGTTGTTCATGTTACTATTACCGTTTCTAACATTACACCTATTGTTATTATTATTGTTCATATTTAATGATTATTAAGATTGCTATCATAAGTATTCGGCTTTTTGGGAGTGCGGGGTCTGGGGTATTTCATGGGCTCTAGTAAAGGTGAAGCCATGCAAGCGTGGCCTGATCCAACAAACTGAGGAGGAGGGTTTAGGCCTGAGTGCTTAAGGTTCAGGGTTGGGGCTTAGGTTTAATTTAAGGTGTAGGGTTCAGTGTAGGGCTAGGGATTTATAATTAGATTTAGGAGTTTAGGGTTTGAAGGATGCAGAGTTCATAGTCTCAACGAATATACGATTTCAGCGGGCTTTCTTGTGTTCAATCGCCAGAAGCCACTCTGCGCACTGACAGTCGACGATGGCGTTCTGCATCTCGAGGGACCTCTGCGATCTCCTTCTCGGAGCGCCCAAGGCTTTCGAGGCCTCGCGGAGCGCAGCAGCATCGGTGCCGGGCTGCAGCCGTGGCCCCGATGCTACTGAGCACGACATCCTCAAAGCCGTCGTGCTGTCTGGAGTACGGCTGTGTCCTAATGGATCCTGAGCCATCCCTCAAGCACGGGGTGACCGGTGCCGGGTGCAAGGGTACTGCCTCCTCAGCGAGCACTGAGCGCTGCCAAGGGTTGTAAGCTTTGAGGGGCTCGTGGCTCTACTCAAAGGGGAAAGGGAGGGACCCTTAATGGGGACCCCTACCCTATAATGGGCTATATAAAGGGTATATACCTAGGGGGTCCTTATTAAGGGTCCCTCCTTTTACCCCTGGCTCTACTGCTAACGATTCAGGGTTCAAGGTTCGGCTGGTAAGGCTCAGCCTACTTGTCGGGAATCATGGGGAACTAAAGGTTAACCTTTTTGGTTATATAGGGATCAAGTAGGGACTATACTACCCAAAAACCGTTAAAGGTTACCTACTCTACTACCCACTTAGCCGTGAACAAACGTTAAAGGTTACCTACTCTACTACTAGGCTCACTCAGGCGTGAGCAAAAAGAGGTTCAGCAACGAAATATCCCTGACAGCAACTAGCTCACACACGGAGGGTCTTGGTTTCTCTGCGGTGATCTTGTGCAGGCATCTCAGACAAAAAAGGACCCCTCTAAAATCCGAAACAAAGCGGAAACACTGAAGCTTGCTTCCTCAAGGCACCTCATCTTTGACCTTCCGGCTTGAGCTAGTCCCATGTGTCAGAAGACCACTGCGGCATATATTCTGTCCCAAGGCCTCTCATAACCCTAAGCCCTAAACCCCGAAACCCTAAACCCCAAAGACCCCAAGCCTTAAACCCCAAAGACCCAAGACAATAAGACCCTACTTGGAGGTTCATGGGTTGTTACAGGTAGGGTTATAAGTAGGGTAATTATACTTATGGCCCATATTAGGCGACTTAGAACCCCCCTTATAACTACCCAAAACCCTAATCCCTAAACCCTAAAGCCCTATAGAGCCCTTTAGAGGGACCCTTAAAGGAACCCCACTTATAACTACCCATGAACCTCCAAGTAAGGCCCGACATCTGTAGACTCCCGAGTTCCTGGCGTGCCGGAAGTATGGATCGCAGTCCTTTGCAAGTCCGCCGGTTTAGGGGTTTAGGGTTGAATTAGGGGTTTAGGGGTTTAGGGGTAAGGGTTGAAACCTCCAGACCCCCCCCGGGAGGATCCAAAAAGTAGATCCCTTATTGGGGGCTCCTATATAAAGCACCCTTGTTAGTAGAGGGCCCCAAATTAAGGGATCTACTCTCTGCATCCTCTTGGCGGTCTGGGAGAGGATCCAAGTACGGTAGAAGCTATTAAGTCGGAAACCCAATAGCCTCAATCCTTAGGAGTGATGTAAAGAGAGTCCCAGCCCCAGCACTAACTGTCCTTAGTCCGGTTTCCAACTTTTTTCGGGTTTACTTTAATAGTGTTCTAGGCGTCACTTTCAACACTCCCCAAGTTGTGAATAATTCAGGCTCCACATATCAAACCATGGGAAATCAAGAATTATCACAAATCGATACGTAATATACTACCCAGGCCATCCAAAGTCCATTGATTAAGGAATTTGTTTTGAATCATTGTAGTACGGTCCCCAGCATGAACTGAAGCATAGTGAAAATATATTCAAAGGGGAAAAGGAGCCTCAATGGGGACCCCTACCCTATATTGGGCTATATAATGGGTATATAATGGCTATATTAAGGGTATATACCTAGGGGTCCTCATTAAGGGTCCCTCCTTTTACCCTTGGATATACTCAGAATTGAAGGCTTGTCGGCCCAGGGTTTAGGGTCTAACAAGTTTGGTATAAGAACTACCCATAGGCTCCATTGTAGTTCCTTGCTGGGATTACTTTATAGGATCCTAAATACAAACCACAAAGGCAACTACAATGGAGCCTATGGGTAAAGGATGTGAGCTTTGGCTTCGGAGCAAAGTTTAGTTCAACGCAGGACAGCCGCAGGAGCAGAAGGAGGTCTGCTATCACGTGCTGAGAGTTGGGCTTGTGGGGGTTTAGGGTTTAATTAGGGTTTACAGTATATAGGGGCTGGACGGTGGATCATATCTCGACACTTTTCCAGTCTGCGGAGAACTGCGAACCATTAAGCTCACGCTGACAAGACATGAGGGCTTAAGGCTTCGCGACGGCGCTGGTATCGCAGAAGAAAGGGGTACGACAACGGTTGCAATCGGGCGGAGAACAGTCGTGCATTTCTAAGGTTTCCGGCATGGCCTAGAGAACCATTGTTCTGAAATTGCAGCCGGAGACCGCAATACTGTGGCTGTGACTCCAGGGTAAGCACAATGAAACCTCAACCCCGAAACCCCAAACCATCAACTCTGCAAGCCCAACCCCGCATACTCCATCAGTCAGATTAACACCATGTCACCATACCTTCCAGACTTCTGCAAATCCTAGACCGTCAATGTTCGAAGGCTAAGGTGTACGGTTTAGCGTTTAGAGCCCGACCTCGTCATCCACAATTCCACGCACGACGGCAAGCTGGCTAGCTCCTGCCGGATGGATTCGAAGCTAAAAGCTGTCGGAGGCTTTCCAGAAATTCGGGCAGGTGTATTCTAGTGGCCTCAATGATTAGAATCGGATTTTGGGGCCCACTATACTATACCTGAACATACTAAGCAACCCCCAAAACAGTATAGGTAACAAACTCAGGCCTCTAGAGTAGATTAACCTATCCTTATGCCCGTAACTATGGTAAGCTGCGTGAGAACTCGCAGCGCTCATCCTCATCCCAAGATCCGACTTTCTGAGATTCACTATAGCAAGCTCGTTGTGCGGAGTCAGCTTCCCCATTAAAAAGCCTACCCCACTCTTTCTGGTTTATTTCATGCCGGCGAAGCCTAAACCCTAGACCCCTAAACCCCCAAACCCTACATCCCCACACACTAAACCCCTAAACCCTAACGCAAACCCCTAAACCGTCTAAACCCTAAACCTCCAAACACTAAACCCCTAAACCCTAAACCCAAACCCCTAAACTCTCTGAACCCCTAAACCCGAGGCCCGCGCCTCTCCGAAACTCTTCCAGCAGCTCTGGCAGAGGCCGGTCCTTGCTGTGGAGCATGTTGTTTCAAGGTTTGGGTTTCAGGGTTTAGGGTTCAGGGACATAGGGTTTAGGGTTTGGTCTCAGGGTTCAGGAGTTACCTAGTTTAGAGTTTGGGTTTCGAGTTTGGGGGGATGTTTAGGGGTTTACCCAGAGCAACCAATGAACTCAAAAAAGTGATAATTAACAACACCTTAAACAATGGGTACATATACCTTTTCTGAGGTAATTAAGGCCTCCTGGCTCCCACTGTCACGGTCAGGGCTTAGGCTTCGCAGCTTGGGATCTGGACGCTTGCGGCTTGGGGGTTTAGGGCGCTTCGCTTGAGGGGTCTAAGGGTTTAGCGTTGAGGTTTAAGGGGTCTAGGGGTTTAGGGTTGAGGGCTTTCGGTGTCGATTTCTCCTCAGAATCGTTCAGGAATCGACAGCTTGGTATCGGCATTTCATGAAAGTTTACATAAGTAGGGGCCTTAATAATTAGAATAGAATTGTAGGCCCTTGTATTACTTCCTTGCAGCTCGCTCTTGGGTCACACTCGTTGGCAATGTTGGCGCATGCGCCAGTGCCAGGTGCTAGTAGACTACCATCAAATACTCCTCATTAACCCTACGGCCTAAAGCCTGCTACTTGCGGAATGTGACAATACGTGTGTGAAAACTCCCACATTTTCCCTGTATTCATTCTCTGTATATGTTGTATATGTAAACAATGGAGATATACCCTGCAGATACGTTCCTTCCACAAAGCTGTAAGGCGCGAGAAGCTCACAAATTACTCAAGTTCTTGTATTGGCCCGTCTGGCATTCCTCCCAGGTTTCCCGGGCTCCCTTCGTTCTGTGCACCTTGAGAGATTGAAGTTTTTAGGGCTTAAGGTTTTACAGCGTTTACGGCTGAGGGTTTTGAAGGACACGGCCTGCTACCGGCTGTACACAGGGCCAGAAGAGCGACCTAGAGTGCGGTAATCACCAGTGCAAAATACAAATACGGTGCAAAGGCAGATTAAAGTTCAAGGAGAGCTACGAACTAGTCAACCCCAATGCCTATGCAGCTATGCACATAATTAGTCATAATACAACCTGCCCTCTCACCCAGCACTATCAAACCTAAACCTCAAAGCCCAAAACAATAAAGCTGAACCGACTACCTACAGCCCCCTATACTTGGAGGTTCATGGGTAGCTATAAGTAGGGTTATAAGTAGGGGTAACTATACCTATAACCCATATTAGGGGACTTATAGCCCCACTTATAACTACCCATGAACCTCCAAGTATAGTAGCCTAATTGCTGAGTTCACCGGCCGAAGAAACTTAACGCTTCATTGTAAGAGGGTGAAGGAAACTCTACGGGCTAGAAATCACATACTCAGCTACACCCTGAACCCTGAACCCTAACCCTAAACCCCAAACCCTAAACCCTGAACCATAAACCCCCCGCTAGAGAAAGCCCAGCAAAGCCCCTGACATCGTCTACAACGAGAACCTCCCGGCCGATCAACGGCAGAAGCGCCTGCCGAGGGGGTTTAGGGTCGAAAACAGGGGCCCAAATAATTACCGATACTGTTCTGGTGGTTCCTTATTACATTTGTAGTATAATATAACCCCCCCACCCACACAGCCCTATTCTAATTTTAAGGCTTAAGGCTTTACGGCTTTAGGGGTTATGGTTTTGGGTTTGCTTTTTTTTAAAAAGGTTTAGGGTTTAAACTTTCGAGCATTGAGCTTGGGCTTAAGCATCTTCATTTGTAGACTTTTTTCATTCAGGAATTTCTACAAGTTGGGTCGGCGACTACGGTGCCCAGTGTGCATATTTGGCTGGGCGTCTCCAGCAATGCTTCTAGCTTGTGACTTGATTTGAAAAACGGGCCTTAATAAGTAAACTAGCGTAAGGGGTCCGCAATACAATCGTACAAATACATGCGGAGTATCAGGGAACAATTGCTAGGTGTTCGGGGGGGGACTCCCCCAAGCCTCAACTGCATTCTTAGAGCTTCATCTAGGACTCGACGTCTTGAAGCCTGTTGCTGCAGATGTAGCACGACGGTTTGTCTCGAACGTTTGGCTCAAGAAAAGCAAGCTCGCGCCACTTCGCCCTTGAGGGGGCCTCAGCAAGGTTGCTATGACTAGGCCTAGGCACCCTTAGGAACCATGATTAGTCTCGTCAGCCGCTTCGAAGTGCAGCAGAAGCTCACGCCACGACGGCTCTGTCGCTGAACCTGAAATGCACGAACCTAGGACTCCTGAGTGATCTATGAAGAAGAGAGCTCGCTTCCCTTCAAGATCGGCCGTCCAAAGGAAGCGGGCCAAGACAACGGCATAGAGTTCCGTCTGGCCGATGAGATGCTGCTTCTCCGATGCCCACCTGTCAACGACGCAATCCAAGACTTTGCATCCGAAGACTCTCACTTGAGGATGCATGCCATGAATGACGATCACGCCACCTACAGTGGCCAGACGTTTGCCATCGGGCGTCGGTTCACAAGCACTGTCGGTAAAGACTAAAACCGGGGCGAAGTAAGCAGAGTTGTGAGCGCCTTTATTAACTGGAGCTATAAGTAGATGTGACCATCGACTATGGTCCCTGCTTACTAAGTCCCCTTGTCCTAGCGTTCAGCCCAAGCCTTGCACTCCTGAAGTCTACACGCCGAATGCTACGGCAAACGCACATCAGTGCCTAGGACTTATATAGAGTGGGATCAAGGGATTTAAGCCCAATTGCTTTGAGGATTCCTTCAGGGCTGCTCATCTTTGAGATCCCGAAACCCTAAACCCAAAGGCTTCATGGGGTTTCACAAGGGCCCGCGGGTCTGCTTGCCAAAGGCTCTGGGTAGGTTCTACTTGGAGGTTCATGGGTAGTGATAAGTAAGGTTATAAGTAGGGTAACTATAGTTATATAACCCGTATTACATGTAGGGGACGTATAACCCCACTTATAACTACCCATGTACATCCAAGTACAGAAGGTTCAAGACTTGCGGATCTCAGTCAATCCTCATGAAACCACGTGCAGCTCCATGTGGAAAAAAGAGCTACCCAAGCAACCCGGCTCTCCCTGCAAACCTATCACAAACGAGACCACACTCCGGGGGGGTGGAGCTGTGGTTGTTGTTTCGGCTTAGTCTTTGGTTTGCTATACATATTACATTGCAGTCTCTGATGGCACAATACCGTTCCGAAACTGACGGCTCAGGACCTCCGTTGTACAAGGTGCCTTCAGTGGCACATCCTGGTCGATCTCCAGCAGGAGAAGGTCCTGCGTCGCAAATGACCAGCCCAAACGCTGAGATTACCTACAGCCTATAGAAGTTGTATCAGTCTAGAATTGCCTGCTGAGTGATGCACGCTATTTACACGTTGCCAAAAGACTTGGTTCTGTGACGACGCATGCTGACGGTGATGCTACTTCAAAGCTGTCTGCTCAAGCGTGCGACGTGTGTCAGTGATAGTCATTCCTTTGCTATGAACATAATTACTAGCCTCGCAGCCTCACCAAAACTAGCAGCCCTACTATCCCCTAAACGTTCCTCTAAAGCTAGACGATATACAAGAATTACACCATCGCCAAGGCCCCTCTAACCCCAAAACCCCCCATGCTTCCCCGAAGCTGTACGCAGACCTAGACCCTGCACCCTCGAGCCCCCGAACGCTCAGAAACTGTTTAGTTCATACGGTGGAGGAATCCTGAAACACGCAATGCAAGACAGGTAAGCTCACTTAGACTTGGATCTGCAGAGCACTCCGATGAGACTGCAGATTTCAGGGGCGGAAAACCTTCTGGAGGCTGTGGCCGTGACTAAACGCCGGGGTTTACGGGTTAGGACTAGGATGTAGGATGTCGGCTTTACGGTTCACGGGGGCAGTCAGAGTCCTTCACGTGGAAGAGGCCAACCTCAGCTACAAAAACCCCGTGCTTGGATGTTCATGGGTAGTTATAAGTGGGGTTATAAGTCCCCTAATATGGGTTATAAGTTATAAGTATAGCTACCCTACTTATAACCCTACTTAGAACTTATAGCTATCCATGAACCTCCAAGTAAGACGTTCAATCGTCTGTATCTATCTCTCTGGCTTTCTCACGCCCTCTCTCTACATATTTTCATTGCATAAGTGACCTGTACAATGCAACTACGTATGTAATCGTATCTGTAACATGCGTTCCCTTATGTTGCACTGTTTGCCGAACTGCTAAGTCGTTGATGCCTTATCGTGCGCACATCCATCCACAGCCTATTCCTTGCCTCCTGCCTGCTCTTATTGTTCTTGGTAATGTGTAGCTGCTCATATCACCACTCATAGCAGCAAATAGTGTCAGAACAGGTCAGTTCTTGTCGTCCAGATAAAATAACCGTTTTCGGAATTTGAAAAAAATCTTATAAGGGACCCTACCATGGCAGGTTTACAGGGTTCAAGTAAACCATACGTGTAAAGGTCCTCGGATTGAGGGTTTCGGCTTAGGAAAGCTGTCCAACTGACTAGTTGAAGATCTTTCCAGATGTCTGTTCTGGGGCAACCACTGAGAAAAGCGCCAAGGGCTCAGGATAGGAGTTCAGGATCTACTTGGAGGTTCATGGGGTTATAAGTCCCCTAATATGGGTCATAAGTATAGTTACCCTACTTATAACCCTACTTATGACTTCCCATGAACCTCCAAGTAGGGATTTAGGGGCAGCCCCCTGAAGCCTGAATACAGAAGCCCTGAAATTACAACAAACTGCTGACGCCGGGCCCTAAAGATCAAGTTTAGACCCGAGAACCAGAATGGTAGGTCTCTTGGGGCTTTTAGTATACTTTGAGGATATCTTTGAGGTAGAGGGGCCGTTTCGTGGAGACACAGGTACTGACGCCAAACGTGACAACAGATCAGCATGGATACGACATCGATATCGTTTCCTCTACATGTGGACCAGGCATACAACCCCACTCACTCTATGCTTCTATGTAATGTAGGGGCCGCTTGTGGGGGTGTTGTACTATACACTCTAATCATAGTCATACCAAGGAACTCTGATTAATAACTCTGGCTTCCATGTTATGCCACCCGACTGATGTCGAATCGCTGTGAGAGAGGATTGCCTAGGGTAGGGTGGGGTAGGGTAGGGTAGGGTGGGGTAGGGTAGGGCAGGGCAGGGTAGGGTAGGGAGATAGAGACAAAGACAGAACAGGGACAGACAGCGATAGCGAGAGGAAGAGAGAGAGGAAGCGGCAGAGAGCCAGAGAAAGGGATGCAGACATAGAAAGGGATGGACAGAGAGAGAGAAAGAGGAGCGCTATGGTTAGTATAATAGGGTATTGTAAAAATCAATAAGGGTTTGTACAAGTCTGTATATATATATATGTATATATATATATATATATATATCCATTATATATATATATATATATATATCTATATCTATATCTATATCTATATCTATCTATATATATATATATATCGAAAGATAGAGAGGAAGAGAGGGAGGGAGAGAGAGAGAGAGAGAGAGAGAGATGCAGTGAGAGAGTGTGCTCGGAATCTGCAAACTTGAAAAACTGAACTCTACGGCCCCAATTGAACCGCAAGCAGCAAGACGTGGGTTTAGGGTTTAGGAAGCATCTGTAAGCCTCTCTGCTCTTCAAGCTTCTCTTCAAATATCTAGCAACATGCGTGCGGCTGATGAGCCATAGTGGACCTCACATGCGACACATGTGTCTGGAGGCTTGAGTGGAGACCATCATCTTGCAATGTGACACCACTATGGCTCCAGAAGATTCTTTGGGGCCGAAAACCAAACTTTAAACCCGAATCCTAAACCTAAACCCTACCTTAATCCTAAAGAATCCTAAACCCTAAATGTCAAACCTTCCCCCTAAACCCTGAACTCGAAACCCCAATCCTAAACCTTAAACTTTACTCCTTAATCCTAAACCCTGAAGAACTGATAAACCTAATCCTACACCCTAAACTTTAAGCCTGAATCCTGAACCTTAAATGTTGCACCTTCATCCTAAACCCTGCTGTCACACTGGTCTTTGCCAACACCACTTGGAGGTTCATGGGTAGTAATAAGTGGGGTTATAAGTGCCCTTATATGGGTTAGAAGTATAGGTACCCGACTTGTAACCCTACTGATAAGGACCCCTAAACCTCATAATCCTACTATACCCTAAACCCTAATCCCTATAGATCCCTTAAAGGAGCCCTACTTATAACTACCCATGAACCTCCAAGCACCCATCCTCCGGGGTTCCGCGCGACGGCGAACTGTTTCTTGGGATTCAGCGGATCCCGGTCGATCACGGGCACCCTTTCCCAGAGACTCCAATATCTCAGAGTTTAGGGTTTAGGGTTTAGAGGGGTTTAGGGTTTAGGGGGTTAGGGTTTAGGGGTTTAGGGTTTAAGGGTTAAGGGTTTAGGCTTTCCCAGAGACTCCAATAGTCCCTTCATTGAGGCATAGACCTAGGGCCTAGGGTTCCTTTGAAGGATCTTCCAGGCTTCCAGGGATCTAAAGGGGTTTAGGGTTTAGGGTTTTCCCAGAGACGCCAATATCCCCCAATCACGGAATGTATCTCAGATCACAAGGATCCTTCCAGAATTTACTAGGGTATAATCCTTAGTTAAGGGATACTGGAGTCTGTGTGTTCCAGGTGTAGAATGGAGAGGCAAGGATTCTAGAGGATTCGCGGTTAACTACTAGTCTTGGATTTGCGGGGTGCTTTCGGGTGTGCGCTCAAGGAGAAATTACCGCATAGCCGTAGCCCTACGCCTCGATTGTGGTTGTCTGTGCAGTAGCTCGCAGGTGTCTTGAAGGCCCCGCACAACGTTTTATCGGGCACATACCTCGAAGTAGCAATAGCTCCAGTCGTTCCACAGCGATAACCAATGAAATTCTCTGAAGATGTGAGTGCACTCATCCGGCTGGCCCAGCCCTGACAACAGTTTCGAAAGCCCGCTTGTCTCCGTTCCACCGACGATGGCGGCAAATGGCGGCCTTCAATGTGATCTTATAGAACATCTTTGTAATTACCTTGCTTCGAGGTCTCAATCTGGCGGGACGCAACACAAGCAGCCGTGGAACTCGCTGGCGAGCTCCAAGAGTGGCAGGGTTGATGCACGGACGCACGACAGCCGCATCTGGCGCAAAGATTGCACGGGCGTGGAACTCGCAGTTCTGACAACCATGATACTCCTGATTTAATGGAACCCATTCTGTCAAGGCCTTGCAGTACTAAGAATCTCTGGACTAAGCCGCACCATAAATTTTACCACTAATCACCAGATGACAAGGGACAGCAAAAGCGAGGATCGCTGGAATAGATCGGACTCCGACGCTCGGAGTACAAAACAATATTCTTTGCTGCCAGAAACGGCTTACGTTTAGGGACTGACGATCGGTCTGATCATGAGCCCAGCTCAACTCTTGGCTGCGAAACCTAAAGCGCACGCTACAAAACCTTTGCCAAGAGAAGGGCCCGCCCCACAAAGCCACCACATGAGTTAGGCTGAGGCCACTTAAAACCACCATAACCTACCGTCCTGCAGGGTCTGATTTCCCCCAAACCCTAAACTTTATAGTGACCCTCCCAAAAAAGGGGGTTCTGATTCTCAGCCGGAAGGTCCCGAAGGGTCCGAAGTACCTTTGCAGCAGAATGTAGGGTTTCTATATTAGGAAATATAGTAGAAGCCAGAAAGTTGGAACATCATTATCCTCATACCCTTAAGGTACAGTATAAGGAATCCTAGCACTAATCATCCCAGTCCATGTTCCAACTTTCTGGGGTTCATTATATGACTATGAGTTCAGGAAGTATCCCCCATAACAATACCTAGGACCCTGTGAGTGTGGAGTTCATAGGGACGCCACGAGAAACGGGTTTGGGTAGCTCCAGGAAGGCTGAAGATCCTGAGCCACGCAAGACTCGGATATAGCCCCTACCCTAGTTGGAGGTATAAGTAGGGTTCCTTTAAAGGGATCTCTAGGGTTTTGGGCTTTGGGTATAGGATTACAGGGTTTAGGGTTCATGGGCAGTTATAAGTAGGGTTATAGGTAGGGTAACTATACTTATAACCCGTACTTGGGGACTTGTAACCCAACTTATAACTACCCATGAACCTCCAAGTAAGGGTCCATGTACCCAAATAGAATATGCTTTGGCCCCAGCGTAGTCCCTATATGGGTACTTTGGCGCCGAAGTATATACAATTTGGGCACATGGACCCTTAGGGCTAGAGAACCCGAAGCCCTACTATAGGGTTTATGGTTTAGGGTTTAGTTTGTG